ATTTTTTTGGCTAATTCATGTTAATGACTACGAAGCTTTATAATTAGATAATAATAAACGACTTTGCTTTTAGTTTTTTTTTTTTAATCTTTAATACAAATCCAATGAAAAGATGCATCAAAGAATTTTTTTTTATAAATATATAAATCCTATTATGAATATATGACTTATTTAATATTTTATTGAAGAGTATTTAATGATAGCATGTAAAAACTAATTTTAAAATACTTTCATCCTTCTGAAAAACACTACGTAACTAATTAATTAGTTAAACTATGACTTATCATTCCATGGTATGGCTTTTCCAAGCCATCAAGGTGTTCCGTTTATATATATATATATATATATTGATTTCATTAGTAACAGGTAGAGTAAATTATAAAGTAATCTCTTTATTTTTTAGAAATAGATTAATTAATTTTTTATTTTTAATATTATTTATCTAAAAAATTATCATATGCTTTTCATCAATTTTTTTCATATTTTTTATTTTTTAAACAAAAAATTAAAAATAAACAAAAAGATTGAAATTGTAAAAAAACTAAGTAATTAATTAATTTTTTCTCAAAACTTCCAATTTATAATTTACTCGTAAAAAGCAGGTGGTTTGTTAACTCCATTGAATAAAATCGAATCAGCTTTTGAAAAACAGAAGAAAAAGTGAGGGGATTTTCGAAAAAACGAAGAGCAGCCTTAGTGGAGATCAGAATGGACCAATAAGGAGGTTTTGAGTGAAGCTTGGCTGTAGTCCATTGGCAGCAATGAGATTAGTACATTCCGTACAGACTCCTCACTGCAGAGGTAAAAACACCAGTGGTGAAAAACGCAAAACAGGCTTACTACTGCTTACTTTCTACTTTCCAGTTGACCTTTTCCACGAAAGTTTTGACTTTTTAAATGCAAAAGTGTAAAAGTTGGAAGACAAACGCCATTATTGCATCCTGTGGCGAAAGATCTACTAAAAATTTTCAGTGTCAGGTCTGCTTTAAAAAGCATCCCAAGAAACTTCTTTACTGGCAAACGGGCTCAACAGTGAAAATTTTATGGACTGATTAATTGGATTTTGGGGAAATTTAATTGATTATTTTGAAGATTTGCATTAGTCATGGTGCTTTATAATTTTATTTCAAAATTACATTACTTCTCTTTATTTGTTTTTTTTTCCTCCTAAATGATAAATATACAGATAGATTAACTATATATTCCATAGAAAAATATTACATCTATCATATCCACGTATGTTTGAAAGAATTTTTTTAATGAAACTATAACTTAAAAAATCTTTATGAATAGAATTTTACATTTTCAAAAAACTAATGAAGCAACTATAGCAAAATTATTCATTGGCGATTTTTCTTACTTTTTATTTTTTGAACAAGGAACAAGGCAGTGGAGATTCGTATGTTGCAAAATGCAATTTGCCTTTCCAACTACATATAATGCATTATTATCAATGCAATGACTAAAAGGAGGCCATGTTAACTCATAATTTCTAATCACTATTTACCCAAAAGAGGTTAAGAAAAAAAATTAAAGGCAAATGCCAAATACATTGTGTCAACCAACCATCATTGGGGAAGTCATTGTTATGCAATCAAGAGTGATCGGAAAAATGATTAAAGATTTTCTAATAAAGGCTGCCTGCCTGCCTGCCGGCTTAGCTTTTGCTAACCAGTCAGTCCTTTTTAGGCACATAGTTTATGCCATTCAAACGCACATCACCATGAATTTGCCGGGGATGAATTTTCTTTTCTCCCACACATATTTCAAATGGCAATTTAGTTGGCATATGACTCGTAGTTAAAAATGTCAACCAATGACAAGTTGTTCAACAACTAAAAGGGATGCTCTAAACTATGCACTATAATAATACATAATTAAGGAAGAGCCTGGCTAAGAGGGATTACTTGAAAGCATAAACAAAGTTATCTGCTGAAAAAGTTTTGCATGCATATTCTCTTGTATAATAATCAATGGTCAACTTTAAAAATAAGAGAGAAAGAAGGTTTGAAGCATCCAAGGCCATAAAGATACAAATTTGAGAGAGAGAGAGAGAGAGAGAGAGTTGGGAGGTGTATGGGTGTTTGTGCTATGTATTTTGTTTGTAATATTCCCTAGACAGAAGTTCCCCCTCCATCGAGTCCCAACAAAGGATTCGAGGATGCCCCTTTTGTCATTTGATGAAAAAACCAGGCATGATGTGGTGGGGTTAGTGAAAGTTTGCTATCATCAAGTTTCACTTATGGCATTGAAGAAAGCTATAAGAACAGTACCATACACACTCGATACCCAGCATTGCTTTCAGCAGACGGTGCGGGGTAGGGACACCACTCCTTTGCTTTGCTTGCCATGTTCTTCAATGTCCAATTATTAATCATTATAATTATTTGGTTACAGGATTTAACCCTACAAATTGGGGTAGAAATCTTGACAGACTTAACCCCCACAAAAGACGAACATAACAGGGTAAATTATATTGCCCTCATAAATTCTTCAATTTTACGCTTTTACCAGCATAGTCATCATTTTTTCCTTTCCGTTTTACCCCTGTAATTTCAAAAAAGTTTCAATATTATCCTTGATTGTAAAATAGCTTAAGACATCTACTGGAAAGCACAGTTGTTTCATCTTTTTTCCTTCTACTTGTCATTTTTATCTCCAATCCTCGTAGATAAGATGATATTCACAAGAGCAATTGAAACGTGGGAAAAAAGAACTCAAAACAAGTTCAGAAAGTCAGGGTCACGGTTGACTTTCACTGGCTATTATTAGCGATTGATAGAGTAAAACTACAAGGGTGAATAGGAAAGATTAGTACAAGTATACAAGTGACACATTGGTTGATCTATAAGGGTAAAAGGATAGCTTACCCAAACATAATTTGAAGGTGAAAAAGGAACCAAGAAGCGCTAGAAGACACCATCCATGGTAGCCCAGCTCCCGGTCCCTCGCAACATGGAAAGAGCCCAAAGACCCGAAGAAAACATGGGCCTCTTTGACTTCAACTCTTAAGCAAAAAGATTCGAAAGACAAACGGTCTGAAACACAGGCAAACCCAAAGAACCTATTGTTTATTCTTCACTACTTTATTCCAATGGGAATCGGATGTTATCAAGTGCCTCAAATGTAGACAGATGGGATACAGTAAGTGCCTTCAACGAGGACGTAAAAGAGTTAGTTAACCAACTGCTTTATTAAAAGCTCGCATTTTCACAGGCATACAACATCAATTGACAACTAATGTATTTCAATGCGAATTTTCAACCAAGAGTTTGGTAGGACGGCAACAAACGTTGGTCTAAGCACGGTTTTTTTTTTTTTTTTTTTTATAAACACTTTTCAACCAAAATGTCAACTGTGGAGAAACCAGGTATCCTGGATCGATCCTACCCTTCTCAACTCAGAATCCTAGAGATTAATTGGCAGCGAGTATTTAACCAAAAGAGGGGCACATCAACACCGACACCACAAGTAATGGGCATAACATCATGCACGTAAAACTATAAAAAATGAGGCAACAGTTCACCTACAATCACTTTTTACAAATGAAAGGAACCACAGGCGACATGAACATGCAACTAAATGGAAAGGTTTGAAATGCATCCACCCTTTCGTTTTGACTGTGGATAAGCTATCGTAGTGCAATTGAGACAATCAACTATGTAAAAACAAGGAAATAGACAAAAAGAAAAAGGCAAAGGAAAACAAATACTCATCACCCGTTTTAACCAGATTATGTGCTCCAAGAACTTCATTTGCAATGAGGTTCAATTTAAACCTTCACCCCAGTGTCAATCGTTACATACTACTGAAAGTTAATCAGCTAATGAGTATCAGAGAGAGAGAGCCTCGCATAAGAGGGTATGCTGTTCAAGTAAAACCTATAGTTAGGCATGGTCAAGCGAACAAATGTTTTGATAAGAAACTCTTTAAAGATTGGATGAAAATTCAATCTTGAACAGAGGCTTGAGCTTCATTGAACTTTGAATCACAATATATCGGAACCAAAACAGAGGGATGAGAGAATAGAATAAATACATTCAATATCATGGGCAAGGGAGAAATAAGGCTGATATGCACAATCTGAGCCAGCTGATAAAAATGCACAGCAAAAACTGACATGGAAAACCCACCTAATCCCCTCAAAGGAAGCCTAAGGAACATTTTCTCCCTGAAGCCTGTCCCAACTCAAGAAGAAAATGGATTAACTTAAGGAAAATAAAATATATCTTTAGCAATAAGAAGAACAAAGACGAAGTCATCATCTATAAAAGTTACTCAACAAATTACATAGCATAAAATGGATGCAGCAATTTTTATCCGGGAATAATGGATCCAACAGTTTAGCACAAAATGCACCAATGCATAATAACTGTGCAGTCCTAATTGACTATGTTAGGAGGAATGCACGTTCAACAGAAAATAACACCAAAAGACCCCATTCGCGAATTTTCTAAAATAAAACACCCTTGAGCTTTATGATGGTAGACATCTACAGCTCAAGGAACCCTTTATCCAAATATAAAGCAAAAGATTGAGCAGAAAGTGAAAACAGGCTGCCAGTATTTGGTTGTACTCAACATTGCATCAGCCCTTTGTATTTTGTAAAGCAGATAGCTATAAAAGCATTGAGCTGCTAAAAATTTATGAACAAAAGAAAATGTATAGACATTCGCAGTAGGGCAGATCCATTTTCAATGTACTACCAGAAAGAAATGCATAGCAAACAGCAAATAACATTACAAAGTAACCCACAAAGATGTCCACAAACCAGCAAAAATAAAGACTTGCACACTGGAGCCAACAAAGGAATCCTCGCCAATCAACTAGGAATATAAAGTTCCTTAGACTCTGACGGTGTCCTCCTATCATGACCTGAACCTTTTTTATCAATAAAGGACACCTAACAAGACAAAGCAGCCATACTTGAACCAAGACACATGGATAGAAAGAGAAGAATCATACTTGATTACATAAACAATCACTTCAGTCCATGACTCTTAGATTTTATCAAGCTTCTCTGCCTTGACAACTGGGTTGGCTTTAGCAATAGCATCCCGAGCAGCAGTCCGATAATCAAAGGGACAGTCATGCTTGTCAGAGTAACGATGAACTGCACAGAACAGGTTTCCACATCTACAACTGAACCCTGTTAAACCGACACGCTTTCGGCAAGCGGTACACCTACTGGGTCCCTCTTTTGCCTTCATCTCAGCAGGCTTGCTTGAAGCTGCATCACTGGATGGTTCTGTAGAGATGATTTTCATCTCTACTGGTGCAGCCTGTACATCAACAGCACCAGCAACCACAGGTTCTTTTCCATTTCCACTAGAGTTGCCATTCACAATGCTTTCAATGGATGATGCTGCCAGTTGGGCCTGTTGCTGTTTCAGGATCATGTCCTTGTGGCACTTGGAGCACATGTTCATTGTAGCAGCACTTCCAAAGAAGCCGCAGTTATTAATGCAGAGTATGGGGCCCTCTGGAGCCTGGCATCCAGTCTCATCATGAGACTCCATCTTCTCAAAAGTCCTGCAAGAAAATCACCTCATGAAATACAGCCAAACAGACAATAAAACACCACCACCTATTCTCTGCCAGACTGATGCTACTTTTCATAGAATTTAAGCACGATCCTTTATGTAACTGCTGAGCAAATGCATACTTTGGTCCAAACACACAAATAGGATGCCCAACTTCCTAATAAAAAGTACATAAGCAAATAGCAAAAAAGAGAAACAAGGGTAGGCAACAAGAGCAACTAATGTTTACCTACACCATCAAGGCACACTAGTACACAAGTAACTGAAGTTTCGACACGGACTAATAACAACAGCACCTACACCCTAACTTCTCTTCGTGAAAGTGTCACAAGCCCATGCCACATATGCTCTCTCTTCTTGCCATGAACAGGTAAGACACAAAGGAGCCAGAGGACAAAGCCAGACTCGAGAAAGGAGAAGAGATTCGTATGCATGAGCATTTAAGTGAGTTTGAACAGATAGAAAAGTCATGCCTTCTTATGCAAGAACAATAAATCAGGGACCTTTTCATTCAACATTCACCCTCTCCATCCTCAAGCTCCCAACCAAGAGACATGTCATCTTCTGCTCTTTTTTTGACCCAAATCATGTACCTTTCTTTTCACAGAGAGAGAGAGAGAGAGAGAGAGAATCATTACTTGGACCAAACCAAACAGCTATAGGTAAAATCAAACTTCCCAGCTCCTGTGTAGCTCCTAATTACCTAAAACGGCACCTATCTATCACTTTGAAGAATTGTACTCATCAAAATTGGAACAAAGACAATCATTTCACCTTATAAAATGACACCCCAGATAACCAAAACAGCATCTAACCCGATCAAAATCTGTAAAAACAGCCATAAACACATAATTGACAATTAAAGCATAAATTTTATCTTTAATTTTACTTATAAACACTAACAAGTCAATAAATCATTGAAAAAATCACTTTAAAACATGCATAGATAGACATAAAACACTCGGTTTCTCAATTAATACACATAATTCAGCGTCTAGAAGCCATAATATGCAAAATTTTCATTTAATTAATCAGGAATTCCGTTTCATTTAATTTCGCATAAGAAACAATTCGACAGAACTAATAAAAATAAAAAATAAAACCCACTAACCTGTTCAATAATTTTGGCCGATCTTGACTAACAAAATCGAACCAGGTAGTTTCTATCTCAAAACAAAACAAAACAAAACAAAACAAAACAAAAAACCCTAATTAAATCAACAAATCTAGAAGAATACAGGAAAAAACAATCAGAGGCAACCTTACCTTAATCGAAGAGATGGAATCAATCGTATGTGATTATCGAAGAAATCGAGACCAACGAAATAGGCAGAGAGACAGACAGAGATTGGGTTATTTTCGGGTGGTGTTTGTTTTTGATATTTCTATTACTTCTATTCGTCTGTCTATATCTTTAGGGTAAATAGCGTATTTGGTCCTCTTACTCGATTTTATCTTAGTTTGATCCTTTTGTTATCTTGTCCAGACATCATCTCTCGACTCCTTATTCAATAATTACGTGGTATTTCTCTTAATTCTCTTGATGCCGACCCAATACTCATCAACGTAATCCTAATGCTGGTCCAAGCTATAGGAATTAGCCAACCTGTATCCAACTTAGGGTATTTTACTATTGTTTGGATATATAAAATACATAACTACTTAAAAAACTTATTATAAATGGATTTTAAGATGTTTTTTAAATAATAATAATAACCGTTTATATTATCACTCTATCTCTTCTTTGCTTTTTAAATCCCTTGTCGTTTTGAACATTGATGATTTTTTTGAAATTTATACTCTAATTTTTTTATCATACGGATCAAAAGAGCTCTAATCCCGACAACTTAATCAAATTATTTTGATTATTGATCTCTTCAATACTACTACCAACACATCTTTTGAGATATTTCATCACATTATGTTTATGAATCGATTCTAATAACAATTGACTAAACTTTAATGTTAGCTCTTAGCACATTATAGAAAATTCTAAAGGTTAAAATACTAATGTTTATGAACCATTATAATGAAATCCGAAATCTCTTTTAAGTTAATTTTTTATGGTCATAATTTTGTATTGATATATTTTTAAATTCAACTATGAATCATTTGATTTCTCTAGTTATTAGAAAAATAATGGGTTTTCTCTTTATTTGGATTTACATTCTTCGATTTTTTTTATTGAGACTTTTTTTTTTTAGTTTTAATTAAAACTCTTTATTTTTTGAAATTTTTTGTTTCACATTCTCTCTTATAAAGTTATTAATCCATAATCGATACATAACATTGTAAAGTAAAAAATTTCAAAAAAAATATAGATTATTAATTGATGACATTATAAAAAAGGTTTAAGATAAAAATTTCAAAGATTAAAATGTCTCAATCAAATAAAAAATCATAATAAAAAAATTTGAAAAATACAAATTCTAAATATGAAAAAAAAACTCTAATAATAATAATAATAAATAAATAAAGCAAATCTTGAATTTGAAATGGGAGAAGGCATGGAAACTAGGATGATATTAAGACCGAAGAAATATAAGATGACACCAACGAATGGTTTCTAAATTCTAACAGTATTTACATAGTTTAAAAAAGGATCACACTAGTAGAAAATTGAAAATAGAGGGATGATATTAAGATAAAACAAAATAATAGTATCTAATCGAGAGTAGAAGGCTCAAACGCACCATTAATCTTTTACTAACATTTATGACTTAAGGCTCATCATATTAATTTTTCTCGGCCAACAAACACCTTCCACAGAGTCGGTATTATTTGACTAATTACCCTCGGAAAGCTTTTTATTTACTTTTCTTGCCATTATGTTTAGGAGATTACTTAATGTTGTTTCGTTGTTGTATTAGGCTGACCTGGCTGGGAGAGCTCGTGGATTGGGCTAGCAAAGTTGAATTGGCGTTTTATTTTATTTTTCTTTTTAAATCCAGCAATCCATAATGATGATTTCAAATGACGAATTTGACACGCTAATCATGTTTGTTGTTGGATTAATGCAGATCTTGATTTCGGTTGCTCTATCATCATGATTCTTTATAGTCCTCAGAAGAATTTGAAGTTTCCAACTTCAAAATTAATTATAAGAAAATAAAATATTCAACTATAAATTAGTTTTTTTTTTAAAGAATTACATTAATTTCTACGTGAAAGAATATACTTGTAAAAAAAATTATATGTGGTAGAGATACATAAAGTTATTGGAAATGGTCAAAAGTATGTTTTCCATGTCAATCTGTTGGAGAATCAATGATTTTTTATTTTTTTAAATTTCACGATACATTCTACAGAAGATTTTTTTACGTCAAATTTTAGAAAGAAAAATGAAAAAAAATGGTCAATTTTAAATTAGAAAAAAAATGCACCAAAAATCTTACTATAATAAAAAGGGAAAGCTGAGGGATGCCGACCCCCATTAAGAAGCATTTAAGAGAGGTTAATTAGTGTCCATTAATTCAGGAAAAAGAATATTGCAAGTATTGTTAATTTAAAATTATTGTCCGGAAGTTAGATTTCCTGAAATAACCTTTAATATTTTTAAAAAGAGTTTGCTACATCGCCATAATCTTGGTAATATTTCCTTTTGACTTTTATTGGTGACTCCTTTCACCATTGTTATTTTTAACTCGTTTTTATCCGCATTAAAAGTAAAGTGTAGTAAAAAATTAAAAGCCGATCTTGTTAACGATAAAATTTATTTTTTATTCTAAAAATATAATGCTGAATTTTTTATTTTTTTGAAAAAAATTTAGATCACGAGCAGAGTAATATATATATATATATATATATTGTAACATGTAATGTTATTTTTTTAGCATGGCTAGAGTATCATGAAAGTATAGTATAGTAGTATCGGATGTTTCGGTCTAAAATATTTGGATACCGAGTTTTTATGATAAATTATAAAAACAAGTTCAAAATATAAAGTGCAATTTTAAGCACTAATTGAGCTTCTCGTAGAACACTCATGAAGTTGAGAATTCGAATTTTTTACTAAAATCTTTGGTTGTTAGTATATCTATATTTTAACATATGATCGTGACTATAAAAAGAACGTTAAACTTCGATTCCGACATAAATGCGATGAAGATTTTTTCAAATAAAAGTGATGTGATGCGAAGGTAGTATTTTATATCGTAAAATATTTGGATAAGAGTTTTTATAATAAATTATAAAAACAAGTTCAAAATATAAAGTGCAATTTTAAGCACTAATTAAGCTTCTCATAGAAAACCCATGAAGTTGAGAATTCGAATTTTTTACCGAAATCTTTAGTCGTTAGTATATCTATATTTTAACGTATGATCGTAACTCATGATAAAAAAGATGTTAAACTTCAATTCCGACATAGATGCAATGAAGATTTTTTCAAATAAGAGTGATGTAACGTGACCTTAATATTTTATATCGTGAAGTGTGAGACAATTCTATCTTTCCACTTATTCTATAAAAAATAGTTGGAATAAAAAATATATATAAAAAAACAACAATTTAACTATGTAATTTCAATCCTTGCAATTTAAGGTTTTTCTCTCTTTTCTTCCCTCTTTCTTTTCCAAATTTCTCTCTCTCTCTCTGTTTTTCTCTCTCAAGAATTTGGATTTCTAGCTTTTTTCCACCACTTTTGTCCCTTTTAGTTCAACTAAGGTGTCCATCACTTTATTGACACTTAACACCTTAATCCTTAACATCCAATCCTTGCAATTTAACCATATAATTTCAATCCATAACTTCACTCATTTATTCAATAAACACATCTTTTTATTAATTTACAAAATATTCATACAATACATTTACATTTCTAGACGAGTTTTAGATCATGGATATTATAATACTATTGCTCAACTTTAGAACAACACCATACAATTCTAGCAACAAACAAAAACTAACATTCGTAAATCGAGGACTCAAATGAGTCGATTGTCACCACCATTAACAAATTAAAAGCTTGGAGTTTG